GTGATTGCTGCATTACAGGAGATTGGACCTTGGGGTACCTTCCAACTCTATTATTATTATTATTATTATTATTATTATTATTATTATTATTTATACCCTGCCCATCTGGCTGGGTTTCTCCAGCCACTCTGGGCAGCTTACAGCACATAAAAAGGTAAAATATTAGACATTAAAAATTTCCTGATACAGGGTTGCCTCCAGATGTCATCTAAAATCAGATAGTTGTTTATTTCCTTTACATCTGACAGGAGGGCGTTTCACAGGGCGGGTGCCACTACCGAGAGGGCCTTCTGCCTGGTTCCCTGTAGCCTCACTTCTCGCAATGAGGGAACCACCAGAAGGCCCTCAGCGCTGGACCTCAGTGTCCGGGCAGAACGATGGGGGGTGGAGACGCTCCTTCAGGTATACTGGGCCAAGGCCATTTTGGGCTTCAAAGGTCAGCACCGACACTTTGAATTGTGCTTGGAAACGTCCTGCGATCCTATAATCCTATGAGTCTATGACATGTACCTGCAAAGTCAGAGGCTATGCTCTGTCATGATGGCTATGCTCCGCCTCCACAGTCAGAGACTGTCCAGTGGCTGGAAACCACAGGAGAAGAGCTGGCTTTTGTGCTCGGGTCTTGCTTGCTGGTTTCCCCACAGGCATCCGGCTGGCCAGCGTGGTGTAGTGGTTAAGAGCGGTGGACTCGTAATCTGGTGAACCGGCTTCGCTTCCCTGCTCCTCCACATGCAGCTGCTGGGTGACCTTGGGCCAGTCACACTTCTCTGAAGTCTCTCAGCCTCACTCACCTCACAGAGGGTTTGTTGTGGGGGAGGAAGGGGAAGGAGATTGTTAGCCGCTTTGAGACTCCTTCGGGTAGTGATAAAGCGGGATGTCAAATCCAAGCTCTTCTTCTTCACTGTGAGAATTGGACGTTGACCTAGATGGACCACTGGCCTGATCCAGCACAGCTCTTCTTATGTTCTTATTTGTTAACCATCGGTCTTGCGTTACGTGCCCCGTGCAGCTCACTGCCAGCGGGTATTATAAAACCAAGAGTTACTTATTCCCGGTGGTAATAAAAGTCATTGTCATGCTACGTGATAGCAGTAATGATGACTTGTAATGAAGCACTGAAATTAATACCTGGCATATATGCAACCCAATCCTATGTATGCCCACTCAGAAGTCAGTCCTATTATGTTCCTTAATTTGGGCTGATTGCATAGTTTTCAGCCTATGTGATGACAACAACAACAAAGATTTACAGTTATTTATTTAGAATTTGAATTTATAGCTATTATATTCGTGTATGAGCACTACAGTCACATCACTTGATATGAGATTAAACCTATGGAACTCATTGCCACATGATAATTGTGGTGGCCAATCATTATGACTGTTTGCTTCTGCTGGCCAGATATCAGACATGGTAGCTTGCGGTTGTTTATTCTGAGCCAGTCTCCGCTTACCTCGCTGGGTCAAAGCATATCCGAGCAATGAGCAAAGTAGCTGCCATGAAGCTCTTTTGTGCATGTTCTAATTGGAAGAAGCAAATTACATGTATGTAATTAATATCTTGTATCTCCTGCCATCTGATCTCTCCCCGTTGGCTAGAAATAGTAGCTCGCATGGGTTAGTGTCCCAATCTGTCCTCCCTCCCAACATCGCTGAGCTTTGTCAGTCTTTGACTGTGTTGACTGAGAGCCAAACAGATGGTTTTCAGATGAAATTGTGCTGACAGATCCCCACTGTCTGCCACAAAGGAAACTGGTTACTGGGCCAACTGATGGAGGGATTGCAAAGGGAGTTCTGTCCACCCCTCACTTGAGGGGATGCTCACCCAGGGCTTCGTTCGCCTTAAATGTCACTTGCAGAGAAGCTGGACCCTCGCAAGGAAGCAGGTCAGTGCAGGGAGGCAGGATGCAGAACATTCCAGGTGTCCAGAGGTGGAGCCTTCAGGACCCTGGAAAGCTCCAGAGAAGCAGAGGTGTTGCCCCAGCAATGGGAAGGACCAAGCCTTATGAGGAATGACAGAGAGAGTCGGGGATGTTTAGCCTGGAAAAGAGCAGCCTGAGAGGTGACACGATAGCTATCTTTGTAGCCATATCTGAAGGGCTGTCCCAGGGAAGATGGAGCAAGTTTGTTTTCGGCTGCTCCGGAGGGTGGGACCCGAACCAATGGGTTCAAACAATCAGAAATGAGATGACAACTAAAATGTTAGGAAGAACTTTGTAAGAGTTGTTCAACAGTGGAACGAACTACTTCAGAGGGGGGTGGACTCCTTTTACTGGAGCTTTTTAAGCAGAGGTTGGATGGCCACCTGTTCGAGATTCTTTAGTTGTGATTCCTGCATTGTGGGGGGTTAGACTAGAGGGTCTTTGGATCCCTTCCCGGTGGAGTATAGGGTCAGGTTCAAGGTGCTGGTCTTGACCTTTAAAGCCCTTTGTGGCTTAGGCCCCTCATATTTACGGGACCGCTTCTCCTGGTATGCCCCACAGAGGACCTTAAGGTCCATGAATAACCATAGTTTAGGGGTCCTGGGCCCTAAGGAAGTCAGACTATCCTCCACCAGGGCCAGGGCCTTTTCAGTGATGGCTCCGACCTGGTGGAATGCTCTGTCCCATGAGACTAGGGCCCTTCAGGATTTAACCTCCTTCCGTCGGGCCTGTTAAGACAGAAGCTATTCCGCCTGGCCTTTACAGTGGTGCCCCGCAAGACGAACGCCTCGCAAGACGGAAAACCCGCTAGACGAAAGGGTTTTCCGTTTTGGAGGCGCTTCGCAAAACGAATTTCCCTATGGGGTTGCTTCGCAAGACGAAAAAATCTTGCGAGTCCCCGCAGGTTTTTTTCGCTCCCCCCCCTTTTCCTAAGGCGCTAAGCCGCTTATCAGCTGTTCCGCTGATAAGCCGCTTAACAGCTGATCGCGAAAAGCTGCTAGACCACTGTAGCGCTAATCCGCTAAGCTGTCAATGGGCTTGCTTCGCAAGACGAAAAAACCGCTAGACGAAGAGAATCGCGGAACGGATTCTTTTCGTCTTGCCGAGGCACCACTGTAATTTGAATTCAGCCTGATCTTTTATTTCCCTTCTCTTTCCCTCCCCCTCCCCTTTTATGAAGATTACCTGCTCTGAGACCCCACAGCTAATTCTCCCCTGGCCTCCTCGCTGGCCCAAGTAGGACCAATTCATCCCAGCTAGCCCTGGGATTATCTAATGCTTAAAAGGTAAAGGTAAAGGTACCCCTGCCCGTACGGGCCAGTCTTGACAGACTCTAGGGTTGTGCGCTCATCTCACTCTAGAGGCCGGGAGCCAGCGCTGTCCGCAGACACTTCCGGGTCACGTGGCTAGCGTGACGATGCTGCTCCGGCGAACCAGCACCAGAGCAGCACACGGAAACGCCGTTTACCTTCCCGCTATAAAGCGGTACCTATTTATCTACTTGCACTTAAGGGTGCTTTCGAACTGCTAGGTGGGCAGGAGCTGGGACCGAACGGCGGGAGCTCACCCTGTCGCAGGGATTCGAACCGCCGACCTTCTGATCGGCAAGTCCTAGGCTCTGTGGTTTAAAGCTTTTAACAGAGGGTGAATGACGGATGAAATCTGTGTACAGTGGTAAAGGTAAAGGGGACCCCCTGACCATTAGGTCCAGTCCGTGACCGACTCTGGGTTGCGACGCTCATCTCGCTTTATTGGCCAAGGGAGCCGGGCGTACAGCTTCCGGTCACGTGGGCCAGCATGACTAGCTGCTTCCTGCGAACCAGAGCAGCGCACGGAACGCCATTTACCTTCCTGCCAGAGTGGTACCTATCTATCTACTTGCACTTTGATGGGCTTCGAACTGCTAGGTTGCAGAGCTGGGACCGAGCAGCGGGAGCTCACCCCGCCGCGGGATTCGAACCGCCGACCATGCGATCGCAAGTCCTAGCCGCTGAGGTTTACCCACAGTTGCCACCCGCATCCCTATTATTATTATTATTATATTATTATTATTATTCCAACTCCATAGTTCTATGATTCACCTAAGCCCCAAAGTACCAGATGATGGATCTCATGTCACCTCTTAGTCCCCTATTCTCCAGACTAAACATCCCCAACAGACCATTCCTCTGTTTCTCTGGAATGTGGCATGAGGCCATCATCTTCTGTTCAGCTACTGTGGCATTGGGTGCCCCCTCACACACCCACACACCCCAGTTTCTCTTCTTTCTTTAATGAACAAACTGCTATAAAGCCCCAAGATGAACCAGTCTGTGGAGAGAGACAAAGGCCATTTGACATTAATGGGCAGGATGGTTACGGATGTTGGCTGGTTGGCTTTTCAAATGTTTTTCCTCACTTTAAGAATTCTCGCCAGAGCTCCTCTCTCTATCTCTCTGCCTCTCTCTCACACACACATGCACACAAACCACCGTTTTCTGAGTTATGAGGCCCATTGAAATGTCTTAGCCAGGAAGACACAATTGAAACAAATCTCTTTGAACCTCACTGCATTCGGTCCTTTGGGGAAGTGGTAAGGGAGAAAAGGATTTGTGTTTGTAAGGAGCCACAAAGATGTCAAGGAGAACGCAGGAAAATCAGCTGGTCGGAGATAGCTGAGACAACATTGCTGAGAATTAGGGAATGTGTGGGCTTTACGGACATTTAGAGCAGGGGTCAGCAAACTTTTTCAGCAGGGGGCCGGTCCACTGTCCCTCAGACCTTGTGGGAGGCCAGATTATATTTTTTTTGAGGTGGGGATGAACGAATTCCTATGCCCCACAAATAACCCAGAGATGCATTTCAAATAAAAGGACACATTCTACTCATGTAAAACACGCTGATTCCCGTAACGTCCGTGGGCCAGATTGAGAAGGCGATTGGGCCCTGGGCCTTAGTTTGCCAACCCATGATTTAGAGGGTAAGCTGTTTGTTGGGTCTTCTTTCATTCTTCCTCTTCAGCTTTACTCCATCTTCCCATATTTGTCCCTAGAGCTCATTCTTTGCTCTTCCTTTTCCTCCCCCCACCCCCCACAACAGGGTTCAAAGGTGAACGGGACCACTGGCGAAGTGGGAGGACAATCTGCATCAAAACTCACGAGAGCGGGCAGAAGGAAATCGAGGCGTTTGATGCTGCCATCTTGCTGATCCGCAACCCCTACAAAGCGCTCATGGCTGAATTCAACCGGAAATATGGAGGCCACATTGGGTTTGCTGCTCACGCCCACTGGAAAGGGAAAGGTAAATATGGGGAGCCACCCCACCAGCTTCTAAAAGATTATTTTTTTAACCTACCTTTTAGGGCACAGTGCCCTCACAAGGCGGCGTGACAAAACTCTCAAAGCACACAAGCACAAAGTCTGGCCATATTTACACCACATATGTAAAACACTATGGCCGGCATAGGGATGTGGGTGGCGCTGTGGGTTAAACCACAGAGCCTAGGACTTGCTGATCAGAAGGTCGGCGGTTTGAATCCCCGCGACGGGGTGAGCTCCCGTTGCTCAGTCCCAGCTCCTGCCAACCTAGCAGTTCGAAAGCACGTCAAAGTGCAAGTAGATAAATAGGCACCACTCCGGCGGGAAGGTAAACGGCATTTCCGTGCGCTGCTCTGGTTTGCCAGAAGTGGCTTAGTCATGCTAGCCACATGACCCGGAAGCTGTATGCCGGCTCCCTCGGCCAATAAAGCAAGATGAGCGCCGCAACCCCAGAGTCGGCTACGACTGGACCTAATGGTCAGGGGTCCCTTTACCTTTACCTTTACCTTTACACTGTCAAATAACTGTATTGTTGAATGCATCACCAAAGTTTCAACTATCCATGATATAGCCTTAGGCTTAGGGCTTTTGTTTTAGTGGAAGAATGTTGCAGAAATGTGGAGACCTGAAATTTAAGACTAAAAGAAAAATGGAGAGAGCTGCAATGAACGGATCCAACTGTCCCTGGTCAAGACACAAACTGAATGAATTCCTGCCCCATGTCTTGACCCTTGCAAGGGAATTTAAATAGATTGCACTGCAGAACTGCACAATTCAGCCAAAAGAAATAAAACCAGATTGGTCTGCACTGGCAATTCCAGGTTTTAAAAATGCACCTAGTCAGCTTCTTGCTAGGTTGCTGCAGCTGTCAGTTGTACTACCATGTGGTCAGATGGGCAGATCTTTGATGCCCACCTTAGTGCCAGGCTGCAGACTTACCCTGCTCCCTTCCTTCTGATTACACTTTTCCTCCTGGCTCCCCCAAGCTAAAGTCTATGTGATTTTTACTTTATTAAAAAAAAAAAAAAAGTTCTGTGTTTTTGTTCCATGGCATTAATTTTATGATATCCCTTGGATCGGTTCCAAAGCAAAGTTTTATGTGATATGATTATGCAAGGTGAATTGTCCCGCTTCTGTTTAATGGAACAGAGAGTCCATTTAATAATTCAGAGGTGGGGGATAAAACACAGTTCAAGAGGATTAATAAGGGATGTGGGGAGGGGAGGGTGGACAAGGTTGTCTTTTCCTCAAGGAGGCGAAGACGAAAAGTTCAAGGGTCCAAACTTTTCTGCACCGCAAATGAGGCATCGGGCCAGTTACAGTTGCAAACGGAATTCTGGCAGATTATATCTGGTTCATTATCCATTTTATCACCCGATTTTAATGTGAGGATCAATTAGCAGGAAACCTCAGGGGTAATTGAAAGATTTCCTCTCCTTCTTTTCTAAAGCAAGGGAGCATGTTTAACTGAGCCCAGGACCTGGTGGCCAACGGAGCAGCTTGCTAATGAGATTGTATCAATCATCAACAAAAAGAGCCTAGCAGGAAAGGTTTTTTCTTAGGGAATGATGCGTTTATGGCAACAGGGGTAAGGTAGACATGATGAGATGACCCTCCCAATCAGCCCCTTCCCTGCAAAAGAGCATTGACTATATTGGACCCACGTCAGGAGCTGATCTGCCTGGAGCCAATAACTCGTTCCTCTCTGGGTTGCTGCCCTGGTAGTGAGGTTGGAGCAACCCTTATAAACAGGTTCCCAGGTACACAGAATCAAAGAATGGAAGGGTTGGGATGGATCCCAAGGGTCTTCAAGTTCTGCAATGCAGGAATCACAACATGAGTGATTCCAGCCAACCAGACTGGTTATTATTCATTATTATTATTGTTGCATCTACAGTAGTACCTCGGGTTACATACGCTTCAGGTTACAGACTCCGCTAACCCAGAAATATTACCTCGGGTTAAGAACTTTGTTTCAGGATGAGAACAGAAATCGTGCGGTGGCGGCATGGCAGCAGCAGGAGGCCCCATTAGCTAAAGTGGTGCTTCAGGTTAAGAACAGTTTCAGGTTAAGAACAGACCTCCAGAACGAATTAAGTATGTAACCAGAGGTACCACTGTATATCCAACTTTTCCTCTAAACAGTTCAGGTTGGCTGTCATCTTCACTCTGCTTATCCACACGAGGAACCGCAGAGCTCCCATATAGTCCTACTTCAGAACATCTCTACAAGAATTCAGGCTTCCTTTTCATCGTTGGGCTTCTTTATCCAACTTGCTACCCCAGTTTGCTGCCCCAGCTTATGTTCCACCAATCTCCTGTAGGTTTGCCCCAGACCCTGGGACACACACACACAGAGACTAAAATCTGTGTCTTGTTGCCTTCCTATTTGTTCAAGTATAAGAGGGCTCTATCCTCTTATCTCTGTTCCCTCTAAACCAACAGCAAGGGTGTAGACATGGGGCAGGAATTCATTCACGTTTGTGTTTTAACCAGGGACAAATGAACCTGTTTATTGCAGCTCTCTCCATTTTTCTAGCCTTAAATTTCTGCTCTAGGTGCAGCTGTTTTAAACTGTTTTCATGGATGATTTGATTGTTTTGTTCCTTTTGGGTTTTTTAGTGTAATATAAATTTTATGGGGGGGGCGGGGATGGAAAAAAGCAATTTAAAAAAATCTTGTCTTGGGTCTCAGGAAGCAAAATATCTCTGGCCAGCCTCCCACTCATACCTTTTTGAAGCTGAGCTGATCCAGGTCTGTTCAGAGACTAATAATAAATAATATTTTTTTATTTATGCCCCGCCCTTCCCAGTTCAGAAAACCGGGCTCAGGGCGGCTAACAACAAATTTAAAACACTTAATTGATACAACTACCTCATTTCTACCATCATGGACAAAGGGCAAGCTGTTTCTAATGTGTTGTGGGTCCCATTGTACTTGACACCAAATGTGCTCAGAATCCTGCCCTGCTGCCGATTAACAGGATGCCCCCCTCTCTTCTTTCAGAATGGCCAGAATTTGTCAAGAACTATGCCCCTTGGTGGGCGACGCACACCCTTGACTGGCTCAAATACGGCAAAAGCGTCCTGGTGGTACACTTTGAGGACCTGAAACAAGACCTCTTCATTCAGCTCAAGAGGATGGTTAGCCTCTTGGGCATCGCAGTCCTCGAGGACCGTCTTCTGTGTGTGGAAGGCCAGAAGGATGGGAACTTCAAGCGATCCGGGCTCAGGAAGTTGGAATATGACCCCTATACCCTTGAGATGAGGAAACTGATCAACGGCTACATCAAAACAGTGGACACGGCCCTGAAACTCAGAAACCTCACGGGGGTCCCAGAGGACTATTACCCAAGATGATGGCCGTGTAGGGACCTCTTTCGGCTGGGAGGAACGGGATCTGCCCAGGCAGGTGTGGCTTGGTTTCACCTGGCGAGTCACTATTTCCACCCAGTGGGTGGCCCTTTTTCGGACCTCTGCTGCTCGCTGTTAATGAATCCCCTTGCATGAGCAAAAAGCGGTCAACATCCACCATTGCCAGCAGAAGATGCCTTGGCAAGCCCGCCCACACAGATCTACGTTCACTAGGGACCAACATTGACATACGGATGGGGGAGGTTTGCAAAATGAAGCTAGATCTTTGCTGCTGCTGCTGTTTGGAAGAGTGTTGTCTCCCCTGCCCCACTTCGTAATACGGATCACCTCAGCTCTGTTCCAGGTGGTTGCAGTACCCAGATCTTTTGGGCCGCCGCAGAGGCATTGCTGGGGCCTTATCTGAGCCAGGCAGTTTTCTATTCCTAGTCAAAAACCCGTGGTCCGTTTGGCTGCCCTGAAACTCCTCAAGATTCAGGTCTTTCATTCAGACCTGGCTGGCACTTGTACGTACATCCTGGGTTCCTCTACTCTGTACACTGGTTCACATATCTGCACACAAACACCTGGTGACTATAGGCTGGTCTACTCATACAGTATACAGTGGTGCCTCGCAAGACGAAATTAATCCGTTCCACGAGTCTCTTCGTCTTGCGGTTTTTTCGTCTTGCGAAGCACGGCTATTAACGGCTTAGCGGCTTTAAGAAAAAGGAAACAAACTCGCAAGAACTCGCAAGACGTTTCGTCTTGCGAAGCAAGCCCATAGGGAAATTCGTCTTGCGGAACGACTCAAAAAACGGAAAACCCTTTCGTCTAGCGAGTTTTTCGTCTTGCGAGGCATTCGTCTTGCGGGGCACCACTGTAGTACAGTTACAGACCTGAGGTGGTTGAGTGGGTTGTACCACTTTAAATTTCAGCTGGAGGATGCCATTTTTTAATTCCCTTCCCCGGGGGTGGGGGGAAGACAACACACAAGTTCCTGATTTGTTGGTGGTTGGTAGTTCAGGGATTCAAGGTCGCCATTCTCTTCCTGTTGCGGACTTCATTTTCTGCTTGTAGGGGAGCGTTCCAAAAAGTGGTACCATCCACCCTGAGACCATCTACCTCCTCATTACAGGAAGCTGCCTTACACAAAGTCAGATTCTTTGTTTCGTTGAACCCAGGACCTTCTGTGTGCATGGCCAATGCTCTAACAGTGAGCTATGGCCCTTTCCCACATTCCCAGAGTTCCCTGGGAAGAGGGACGCATTGTTAAACCACTCTGGGAAGTGTAGATCTGTGAGGGGAATGGGGGGTCCCCTCATTCCAGTCCCACTTCACTACCTGGCCCAGACCTGCAGTTTTGCATGTCAGAATGGGCCTTTTATCACATTCACTTTGGGGGCATCAAGGCTTAGTTCACAGGCCTCCATGTCCAGAGCTGTCCTTGATGATGTTTGGTGTGTGGCAGGTGTGTGGAACCTGTGACCCCTCCAGATGTTGGTGGACGACAGCTCTCATCCTCTCTGGCCATTGGCCATGCTGGCTGGGGCTGAGGAAACTTGTAATCCTACAAAATCTGGAGGGTTACAACAGCCTCATCCCTAACACATAGAATTCATGTATTCTGGGATGGATTTGGAAGCTGGGACAGGAAACCCAGCCAGATGGATGGGCTATAAATAATAAATTATTATTATATTATTTATTAATTATCTTCTCTCCTATTCACTTTAGTAAGATCGGAGTCTAGTTTCGCAGAATTGAAAATATGCCACCCTTTGCAGCATTAACACAGCAACTTGGGGGAAAGCTGTGTAACTTGGGGGAAAACTGTGTTATCCCTCTAAAAACAAATAACAACATGGAAGTCTGTGATGTAAAGATATAAAAATATTGCTTACTTACATAAAGTTGCAGACTCGATTCAAGCAAAATATATCAGTGAAATAAGTAAATCAGGCAAAATATCCTTCTAGATTACAAAATACACGGTTTAGATCAGTGTTCCCCAAACTTGGGTCTCCAGCTGTTTTTGGGCTACAACTCCCATCATTCCTAGCTAGCAAGACCATTGGTCAGGGACGATGGGAACTGTAGTCCAAAAACTACTGGAGACCCAGGTTTGGGAAACACTGGTTTAGATCACCTTCTCCTTACGGCTTCATGACAAGAGAGTGACTGTTCCTCAGGTGTGAGGAAATGATGAAGATTATCTTCCTATTGTTACCCTTCTCACCTGGGCAAACAGAGGATGTGACCTCACAGAGTGCCCTCTAGGAACTTGCAGGGAACTCTATGTGTCCTAACCCTTTTCTCACCTGACAAACATGGAATCTTATATTTATATTTTGAATCTCCCTCCCACTTGGCCAGTTGCATTGGCAAATGCTCACTACAATGACCTATGAAACTGATTAAATTACCAGCATCAATTGCTCCTTGCTTTCATACCTCCTAGGTGTGCATGCACAGGGCAAAACGCCACAGTGCTACAACCTGGAATAAGGGCCTCTTAGGAGCCAGGAGGTTCCAAAAGGATGAAGTTTGCAGAGACCTAGAAGAGAAAATGGCCTCCAGTTGATAGAAAATCCCCAGGTTGTGGCTGTTCCCTCACTGTCATTTCTCAATCTCTACAGAGCATCTCAAAAACGACAAGCTTTTTGCAATTCTCCTTTTTTCACAAGGAGGTGAAGGTGAATGAAATATACTCGGAGTTGAGCGCGGATTTCATGCTCTTTATTCAGCTCATAGTGGTGAGGAGGAATGGAAGTTCCCCCAGAATGTCTACTTTATATACATTACTTACACAATGGGCCCCACGTGATTGGCTAATTCCGGGATTCACCTGTAGGCCAATCAGGTTGCAGATTCACTTCCACCTGGAGCTGGATTGGGTGGCTCCTGTGGACCAATCAGACTGCTGCATTCTGGACCCTATTGTTCTAAGACCAATCAGATTGCTGCATTCTGAATCCTATTGTTCTAGGACCAATCAGACTGCTGCCTTTTGGATCCTATTCAACCCAGTACATAACAGTGAAGCAAATTGTATTTGCAGGGTCAGGGGGGATGGAACCAGCCAGGAATGTAAAAGCTCTGCCCACGATCCAGTGCATCTCAGATTGAGATGAGGCGCAGGACAAAGAGGCCCCACTTCCCAGCTCGACGCCTCCTGCCCACATGTAGACGCAAAAGCCATAAGTCGAACCCAGAATCTTTTCTATCTCCAGTTAACTTAGATCCGAAGTCTTGGCTGCACAATTCTCTCTCCATGTTCAAGGACAGCAAAGATATTTCTGCTGCAATGGCGGATGTTGCAAGAGAACTCTATTTTTTTATGCACCTTCGTGGGGGGCGGGGGTGGGACTCACAGACGTTTGCACTGCTTGGGGCTGCTGCTGCTGCTGGGGGGTGTCAATGCTGCTGTCTACCTTGGCTTCTTATTTCCTCTTGCTTTTCTTTTATTGTTTTGATGTTTGACCAAAAGGCTCCAACAGAGCTCCTGTTCTCCTGAATGTATTTGTTAAGGAGCAACAGCAAAGTTATTGCAGAGGGCAGGGGAGTGTGGGGGTTTTTTTGTGTGCTTTGAGCCTTTGTGAAGCAAGATTATTTATGGATTTTCTTTGTTTTTTGGGAGACCAAATAGTTGTAGTGAAAATGATATGATTTCTACCTTTCCCCTTCATTCGTGGGGTAGCCCCAAAGCTGCCGGACTCTCTCTGAACAATCCTCAGGTCAAATGCCGCTCATTAAACAAACGTTTTCTTAATATTTCTACAGTGTTCTTGGGTGTCTTTTCTGAAGTGCCCCTAAACGTCAGATGTTTGCTCATGCTGGTGTTAAAAGGTGCGCCCTGTGGAACTATGTAGCCCAAGTGCCAGGAGGGGGGGGCGAAGCATTCCCCCTACACAGCACCCTCCAAGTTGCCCTATTTTCCAGGGACAGTCCTGGATTTACAGAAGCTGTCCCGGTTTCTGATTTGATCCCCAAATCTCCCACTTTTTTCTTAGGATGTCCCTATTTTGATTAGAGAAATGTTGGAGGGTATGGTTGTTGTTGTTTAGTTGTGTCCGACTCTTCATAACCCCATGGACCAGAGCACACCAGGCACTTCTGTCTTCCACTGCCTCCCACAGTTTGGTCAAACTCATGCTGGTAGCTTCGAGAACACTATCCAACCATCTCATCCTCTGTCGTCCCCTTCTCCTTGTGCCCTCCATCTTTCCCAACATCAAGGTCTTTTCCAGGGAGTCTTCTCTTCTCATGAGGTGGCCAAAGTATTGGAGTCTCAGCTTCAGGATCTGTCCTTCCACTGAGCGCTCAGGGCTAATTTCCTTCAGAATGGATAGGTTTGATCTTCTTGCAGTCCATGGGACTCTCAAGAGTCTCCTCCAGCACCAGAATTCAAAAGCATCAATTCTTTGGCGATCAGCCTTCTTTATGGTCCAGCTCTCACTTCCATACATCACTACTGGGAAAACCATAGCTTTAACTATATGGACCTTTGTTGGCAAGGGTATGGTAAGACGTCACTATTTTCATTGGAGGGTATGGAGGGCTAATAATAATAATAATAATAATAATAATAATAATAATAATAGAATAGGACATCCCTATTTTCATTGGAGAAATGTTGGAGGGTGTGGAGTTCTCCGACCCCCAAACCATTTGAAGGCAGCCCTGCACAGGGAAGTCTTTGAATGTTTAATATTTTATCGTCTTTTTATATACCGACTTTTTTGCTGTATAAGACTCACTTTTTCCCTCCTAAAAAGTAAGGGGAAATGTGTGTGCGTCTTATGGAGCGAGTGCAGGCTGCACAGCTATCCCAGAAGCCAGAACAGCAAGAGGGATTGCTGCTTTCACTGCGCAGCGATCCCTCTTGCTGTTCTGGCTTCTGAGATTCAGAATGTTTTCTTCCTTGTTTTCCTCCTCCAAAAACTAGGTGCGTCTTGTGGTCTGGTGTGTCTTATAGAGCGAGGTACATTTGCAGCCACCCAGAATGACTGGGGCCACCCAGTCAGATGGGTGGGGTATGAATAGTAAAAATATGATGGCGATGAAGCTGATGATGATGGAATAGGGGATCCCTATTTTCCCTGGAGAAATGTTGGTGGGAGTGCCTCTACACCATGCAAGTAGGAACGAGAACATGATCATGTACATCTTTGCCACTAGAGGTCCATTTTTCCTCTGTGGTTCGGAGTGCCTTTGGCCAGCTTTGTCTGGTTCTCCAGCTAAAACGCTTCTTGGACAGGGATAGCCTGATCACTTAAGAACGGACCTCCGGAACGAATTAAGTTCTTAACCTGAGGTACCACTGTACACCTTTAGGCGCCAGGCAAAAACATTCCCTTTTAACCAAGCCTTTGGTTGATTTGATTGACATCCTATGCCCTTTTAAAATGTGGTGTGGTGGGTTTTTTTTGGGAGGGGGACATTATTGGGTTGTTTTTATTTTGATTATATATTTTGTGGTTTTATGTTTTGATTTTGTTCTATGAACCGCCCTGAGACCTCCGGGTATAGGACGGTATAATAATAATAATAATAATAATAATAATAATAATAATAATAATAAAAAATAATTATAATACAGTGGTACCTCGGGTTACATACGCTTCAGGTTACAGACTCCGCT